GCAATCGGCTAGCGCGTTAGGCTGTTAACCGAAAGGTTGGTGGTTCAAGCCCACCCAGGAGCGAGAACAGTAGAACCTAAAAATCAGAGATAGCTGCAAAAAATATGTTCACTAAATTTTAAATTTCAGGATCCAAAGCTTCGAATTCTTGAAATTGAAAAAATAGGTTTGAAAGACTTGCATAATCTTTGAGCCCTGGTAATTCAGTCGGTAGATCGTTGGACTTTAAACCATAGAGTCAAGGGTTCGAGTCCCTTGTAGGGCGAAGTATCAATACTGCTATTAAAATTTTCGAAACAATCGTACTTCATTGAAAACGCCAGTTATTTTCAGAGTTTTTAAGGATGCTTAATAAGTGTCAGACTCTCGAAAATAAATTTTACCCACGGAAAAAGATTGAATGATGCCTAAAAAAAATCAACCGACACTTATTTATAGAGCTCTTGGGGCGCAATCGGCTAGCGCGTTCGGCTGTCAACCGAAAAGTTGGTGGTTTAAGCCCTCCCAGGAGCGAGAACAGAACCTCAGAATGAGAGATATCTGCAAAAAAATGAGCACTAAGTTATTCGTTTTCGGATCCAAAGCTTCGAATTCTTGTATTTGAAAGACTTGCGTAAACATTCAGCCCTGCTAGCTCAATCGGTAGAGCATTGGACGTTTAATCCGACGTTCAAGGGTTTGGTTCCCTAGTCGGGCGCAGTATCATTTCTTATATTAGTTTTTTTGAAACGCTCTAACTTCTTTGAAAACACCAGTTATTTTCAGAGTTTTTAACAATGGTTAATAAGTTTCAGGCGCTCAAAAATAAATTTTTTCATAAAATTAAATTTTTACGAGCTCTTGTGGCGCAATTTGCTAGCGCGTTCGGCTGTTAACCGAAAGGTTGGTGGTTCAAGCCCAGCCAGGAGCGAGTACAGTAGACCCTCAAAATTACATATTGCTGCAAAAAAATGTGCACTAAATTATCAATTTCAAGATCCAGAGCTTCGAATTCTTGAATTGGACAAATTAGGTTTGTAAGACTACCAAACATTCGAGCCCCAGTCGGTAGAGCGTCGGACTTTTAAGAAGCAGAGATTTCAGCAAAAAAAGCACTAAGTTATTCTTTTTAGGATTCAAAGCTTCGAATTCTTGCATTTGAAAGACTACCGTAACCTTTGAGCCATGCTGGGGCAGTCGGTAGAGCAGTGAAATTTGAATCCGACGTTCAGGGGATCGAGTCTCTTCTGGGGCGAAGTAGCATTTCTTCTATTAATTTTTTTTGAAACACTCGAACTTCTTCGAAAACGCCAGTTATTTTCAGACTTTTTAAGAATGGTTAATAAGTTTCAGGCGCTCAAAAATAAATTTTTGCATGAACGATACATTAATCGAGCTCTTGTGGAGAATTCAGCTAGCGCGTTCGGCTGTAAACGGAAAGATTGATGGTTCAAGCCCACCCAGGAGCGAGAACAGTAGAACCTCAAAATCAGAGATAGCTGCAAAAAATATGTTAACTAAATTTTAAATTTAAGGAGCCAAAGCTTCGAATTCTTGAAATTGAAAAACTAGGTTTGAAAGACTTGCATAATCTTTCAGCCCTGGTAACTTAGGCAGTAGATCGTTGGACTTTAAATCATATAGTCGAGGGTTCGAGTCCCTAGTGGGGCGAAGTATCATTTCTTCTATTAAAATTTTTGAAACAATCGTACTTCATTGAAAACGCCAGTTATTTTCAGAGTTTTTAAGAATGGTTAATAAGTTTCAGGCGCTCAAAAATATACTTTTTCATAAAAGAAACTTTTATCGAACGCTTGTGGCGCAATCGGTTAGAGCGTTCGACTGTTAACCGAAATGTTGGTGATTCAAGCCCACCTGGGAGCAAGAACAGAACCTCAGAATCAGAGATTTCAGCAAAAAAAAAGAGCACTAAGTATTTCATTTTAGGATCCAAAGCTTCGAATTCTTGCATTTGAAAGACTAGCGGAATCTTTGAGCCCTGCTAGGGCGGTCGGTAGAGCAGTGAACTTTGAATCCAACTATCAGGGGTTCGAGTCCCTTCTGGGGCGAAGTAGGATTTCTTCTTATAATTTTTTTTGAAAAACTTGAACGTCTTTGAAAACGCCAGTTATTTTCAGAGTTTCTAACAATGGTTAATAAGTTTCAGGCGCTTAAAAATAAATCTTTTCATTAAAAAAAATTATCGAGACCTTGTTCCGCAATCGTCTAGCGCGTTCGGCTGTAAACCGAAAGGTAGTTGGTTCAAGCCCACCCAGGAGCGAGAACAGAAGAACCTCAGAATCAAGGATTTCTGAATAAGAATATGAGCACTAAGTTATTTATTTCAGAATCTAACGCTTCAAATTCTTGCATTTGAAAGACTAGCGTAATCTTTGAGCCCTGATAGGGCAGTCGCTAGAACAGTGAACTTCGAATCCAACGTTCAGGGGTTCGAGTCCCTTCTGGGGCGAAGCAGCAATTCTTCTATAATTGTTTTTGAAACACTCTAAGTTCTTTGAAAACACCAGTTATTTTCAGAGTTTTTAACAATGGTTAATAAGTTTCAGGCGCTCAAAAATAAATTTTTTCATAAAATTAATTTTTAACGAGCTCTTGTGGCGCAATTTGCAAGCGAGTTCGGCTGTTAACCGAAAGGTTGGTGGTTCAAGCCCAGCCAGGAGCGAGAACAGTAGAACCTCAAAGTTACATAATCCCGCAAAAAAATGTGCACTAAATTATCAATTTCAAGATCCAGAGCTTCGAATTCTTGAATTTGACAAATTAGTTTTGTAAGACTACTAAACACTCGAGCCCTGCTAGCTCAGTCGGTAGAGCGTTGGAATTTTAAGAAGCAGAGATTTCCGCAAAAAAAGCACTAAGTTATTCTTTTTAGGATTAAAAGCTTCGAATTATTGCATTTGAAAGACTAGCGTAATCTTTGAGCCCTGATAGGGCAGTCGCTAGAGCAGTGAAATTTGAATCCCACGTTCAGTGGTTCGAGTCACTTCTGGTGCGAAGTAGTAATTCTTCTATAATTTTTTTTGAAACACTCGAACTTCTTCGAAAACGCCAGTTATTTTCAGACTTTTTAAGAATGGTTAATAAGTTTCAGGCGCTCAAAAATAAATTTTTTCATGAACGATACATTAATCGAGCTCTTGTGGAGAATTCAGCTAGCGCGTTCGGCTGTAAACGGAAAGATTGATGGTTCAAGCCCACCCAGGAGCGAGAACAGTAGAGCCTCAAAATCAGAGATAGCTGCAAAAAATACGATCACTAAATTTTAAATTTCAGGATCCAAAGCTTCGAATTCTTGAAATTGAAAAACTAGGTTTGAAAGACTTGCATAATCTTTGAGCCCTGGTAACTTAGTCGGTAGATCGTTGGAATTTAAATCATACAGTCAAGTGTTCGAGTCCCTTGTGGGGAGAAGTATCATTTCTTCTATTAAAATTTTTGAAACAATCGTACTTCATTGAAAACGCCAGTTATTTTCAGAGTTTTTAAGAATGGTTAATAAGTTTCAGGCGCTCAAAAAAATATTTTTTCATAAAAGAAACTGTTATCGAACTCTTGTGGCGCAATCGGTTAGAGCGTTCGGCTGATAACCGAAATGTTGGTGGTTCAAGCCCACCTGGGAGCGAGAACAGAACTTCAGAATCAGAGATTTCAGCAAAAAAAAAAAGAGCACTAAGTTATTCATTTTAGGATCCAAAGCTTCGAATTCATGCTTTTGAAAGACTGGCGGAATCTTTGAGCCCTGCTAGGGCGGTCGGTAGAGCTGTGAACTTTGAATCCAACGATCAGGGGTTCGAGTATCTTCTGGGGCGAAGTAGGATTTCTTCTGATATTTTTTTTTGAAAAACTTGAACTTCTTTGAAAACGCCAGTAATTTTCAGAGTTTCTAAGAATGGTTAATAAGTTTCAGGCGCTTAAAAATAAATCTTTTCATTAAAAAAAACTTTATCGAGATCTTGTTGGGCAATCGGCTAGCGTGTTCGGCTGTAAACCGAAAGGTAGTTGGTTCAAGCCCAGCCAGGAGCGAGAACAGAAGAACCTGAGAATCAAGGATTTCTGAATAAGAAGATGAGCACTAAGTTATTTATTTCAGGATCTAACGCTTCAAATTCTTGCATTTGAAAGACTAGCGTAATCTTTGTGCCCTGATAGGGCTGTCGCTAGAGCAGTGAACTTTGAATCCAACGTTCAGGGGTTCGAGTCCCTTCTGGGGCGAAGTAGCAATTCTTCTATAATTGTTTTTGAAACACTCGAACTTCTTTGAAAACGCCAGTTATTCTCAGAGATTTTAAGAATGGTTAATAAGTTTCAGGCGCTCAAAAATAACTTTTTTATTAAAATGTTTTTTTATCGAGCTCTTGTGGCGCAATCGGCTAGCGCGGTCGGCTGTTAACCAAAAGGTTGGTGGTTCAAGCACACCCAGGAGCGAGGACAGCAGAACCACAGAATCAGACTTTTCTGCAAAAGATAAGAGCACTAAATTATCAATTTCAAAATAGGAGCACTAAATTATCAATTTCAATTCTTGATTTTGACAAAATCGTTCTGTAAGACTAGCAAAACATTCGAGCCCTGCTAGCTCAGTCGGAAGAGCGTTGGACTTTTAATCAAACGGTCAAGGGTTCGAGTCCCTTGTGGGGCGAAGTATCATTTCTTCTGTTAAAATTTTTGAAACAATCGTACTTCATTGAAAACGCCAGTTATTTTCAGAGTTTTTAAGGATGCTTAATAAGTGTCAGACTCTCAAAAATAAATTTTACCCATGGAAAAAGCTTGAATGATGACTAAAAAAATCAACCGACACTTATGTATAGAGCTCTTGGAGCGCAATCGGCTAGCGCGTTCGGCTGTCAACCCAAAGGTTGGTGAATTAAGCCCACCCAGGAGCGAGAACAGAACCTCAGAATGAGAGAATTCTGCAAAAAAAAAATGAGCACTTAGTCATTGGTTTTAGGATCCAAAGCTTCGAATTCTTGTATTTGAAAGACTAGCGTAATCTTTAAGCCCTGCTAGCTCAGTCGGTAGAGCGTTGGACTTGTAATCCGACAATCAAGGGTTCGGTTCCCTTGTCGGGCGCAGTACCATTTCTTCTATTAATTTTTTTGAAACATTCTAACTTCTTAGAAAACGCCAGTTATTTTCAGAGTTTTTAAGAATGGTTAATAAGTTTCAGGCGCTCAAAAATAATTCTTTTCATAAAATGATTTTTTATCGAGCTCTTGTGGCGCAATCGGCTAGCGCGTTCGGCTGTTAACCAAAATGGTGGTGGTTCAAGCCCACCCAGGAGCGAGAACAGCAGAACCACAGAATCAGACTTTTCTGCAAAAGATAAGAGCACTAAATTATCAATTTCAATTCTTGAATTTGACAAAATAGGTCTGTAAGACTAGCAAAACATTCCAGCCCTGCTAGCTCAGTCGGTACAGCGTTGGACTTTTAATCCAACGGTCAAGAATTCGAGTCCCTTGTGCGGCGAAGTATCATTTCTTCTATTAAAATTTTTGAAACAATCGTACTTCATTGAAAACGCCAGTTATTTTCAGAGTTTTTAAGAATGGTTAATAAGTCTCAGGCGCTCAAAAATAAATCTTTTTAATGCTTTTTATCGAGCTGTTGTGGCGCAATCCGCTAGCGCGTTCGGCTGTTAACCGAAAGGTTGGTGGTTCAAGCCCATCCAGGAGCGAGAACAGCAGAAACACAGAATCAGACTTTTCTGCAGAAGATAAGAGCACTAAATTATCAATTTCAAAATAGGAGCACTAAATTATCAATTTCAATTCTTGAATTTGACAAAATCGTTCTGTAAGACTAGCAAAACATTCGCGCCCTGCTAGCTCAGTCGGTAGAGCGTTGGACTTTTAATCCAACGGTCAAGGGTTCGAGTCCCTTGTGGGGCGAAGTATCATCACTTATATTAAAGTTTTTGAAACAATCGTACTTCTTAGAAAACGCCAGTTATTTTCAGAGCATTTAAGAATGGTTAATAAGTTTCGGGCGCTCAAAAATAATTTTTTTCTTAAAGTGAGTTTTTATCAAGCTCTTGTGGCGCAATCGGTTAGCGCGTTCGGCTGTTAACCGAAAAGTTGGTGGTTCAAGCCCACCCAGGAGCGAGAACAGTAGAACCACAGAATCAGACTTTTCTGCAAAAGATAAGAGCACTAAATTATCAATTTCAAAATAGGAGAACTAAATTATCAATTTCAATTCTTGATTTTGACAAAATCGTTCTGTAAGACTAGCAAAATATTCGAGCCCTGCTAGCTCAGTCGGTAGAGCGTTGGACTTTTAATCCAACGGTCAAGGGTTCGAGTCCCTTGTGGGGCGAAGTATCATTTCTTCTGTTAAAATTTTTGAAACAATCGTACTTCATAGAAAAACCCAGGTATTTTCAGAGGTTTTAAGGATGCTTAATAAGTGTCAGACTCTCAAAAATAAATTTTACCCATGGAAAAAGCTTGAATGATGACTAAAAGAATCAACCGACACTTATGTATAGAGCTCTTAGGGCGCAATCGGCTAGCGCGTTCGGCTGTCAACCCAAAGGTTGGTGAATTAAGCCCACCCAGGAGCGAGAACAGCAGAACCACAGAATCAGACTTTTCTGCAAAAGATAAGAGCACTAAATTATCAATTTCAAAATAGGAGCACTAAATTATCCATTTCAATTCTTGATTTTGACAAAATCGTTCTGTAAGACTAGCAAAACATTCGAGCCCTGCTAGCTCAGTCGGTATAGCGTTGGACTTTTAATCCAACGGTAAAGGGTTCGAGTCCCTTGTGGGGCGAAGTATCATTTCTTCTATTAAACTTTTTGAAACAATCGTACTTCTTAGAAAACGCCAGTTATTTTCAGAGCATTTAAGAATGGTTAATAAGTTTCAGGCGCTCAAAAATAATTTTTTTCTTAAAGTGATTTTTTATCAAGCTCTTGTGGCGCAATCGGTTAGCGCGTTCGGCTGTTAACCGAAAGGTTGGTGGTTCAAGCCCACCCAGGAGCGAGAACAGCAGAACCACAGAATCAGACTTTTCTGCAAAAGATAAGAGCACTAAATTATCAATTTCAAAATAGGAGCACTAAATTATCAATTTCAATTCTTGATTTTGACAAAATCGTTCTGTAAGACTAGCAAAACATTCGAGCCCTGCTAGCTCAGTCGGTAGAGCGTTGGACTTTTAATCCAACGGTCAAGGGTTCGAGTCCCTTGTGGGGCGAAGTATCATCACTTCTATTAAAGTTTTTGAAACAATCGTACTTCTTAGAAAACGCCAGTTATTTTCAGAGCATTTAAGAATGGTTAATAAGTTTCGGGCGCTCAAAAATAATTTTTTTCTTAAAGTGATTTTTTATCAAGCTCTTGTGGCGCAATCGGTTAGCGCGTTCGGCTGTTAACCGAAAAGTTGGTGGTTCAAGCCCACCCAGGAGCGAGAACAGTAGAACCACAGAATCAGACTTTTCTGCAAAAGATAAGAGCACTAAATTATCAATTTCAAAATAGGAGCACTAAATTATCAATTTCAATTCTTGATTTTGACAGAATCGTTCTGTAAGACTAGCAAAATATTCGAGCCCTGCTAGCTCAGTCGGTAGAGCGTTGGACTTTTAATCCAACGGTCAAGGGTTCGAGTCCCTTGTGGGGCGAAGTTTCATTTCTTCTATTAAAGTTTTTGAAACAATCGTACTTCATTGAAAACGCCAGTTATTTTCAGAGTTTTTAAGGATGCTTAATAAGTGTCAGACTCTCAAAAATAAATTTTACCCATGGAAAAAGCTTGAATGATGACTAAAAAAATCAACCGACACTTATGTATAGAGCTCTTGGGGCGCAATCGGCTAGCGCGTTCGGCTGTCAACCCAAAGGTTGGTGAATTAAGCAAACCCAGGAGCGAGAACAGAACTTCCGAATGAGAGAATTCTGCAAAAAAAAGAGCACTTAGTCATTGGTTTTAGGATCCAAAGCTTCGAATTCTTGTATTTGAAAGACTAGCGTAATCTTTAAGCCCTGCTAGCTCAGTCGGTAGAGCGTTGGACTTGTAATCCGACGTTCAAAGGGTTCGGTTCCTTTGTCGGGCGCAGTATCATTTCTTCTATTAATTTTTTTGAAACACTCTAACTTCTTAGAAAACGCCAGTTATTTTCAGAGTTTTTAAGAATGGTTAATAAGTTTCAGGCGCTCAAAAATAAATTTTACCCATGGAAAAAGCTTGAATGATGACTAAAAAAACCAACCGACACTTATGTATAAAGCTCTTTGGGCGCAATCGGCTAGCGCGTTCGGCTGTCAACCCAAAGGTTCGTGGATTAAGCCCACTCAGGAGCGAGAACAGCAGAACCACAGAATCAGACTTTTCTGCAAAAGATGAGAGCACTAAATTATCAATTTCAAAATAGGAGCACTAAATTATCAATTTCAATTCTTGATTTTGACAAAATCGTTCTGTAAGACTAGCAAAACATTCGAGCCCTGCTAGCTCAGTCGGTAGAGCGTTGGACTTTTAATCCAACGGTAAAGGGTTCGAGTCCCTTGTGGGGCGAAGTATCATTTCTTCTATTAAACTTTTTGAAACAATCGTACTTCTTAGAAAACGCCAGTTATTTTCAGAGCATTTAAGAATGGTTAATAAGTTTCAGGCGCTCAAAAATAATTTTTTTCTTAAAGTGATTTTTTATCAAGCTCTTGTGGCGCAATCGGTTAGCGCGTTCGGCTGTTAACCGAAAGGTTGGTGGTTCAAGCCCACCCAGGAGCGAGAACAGCAGAACCACAGAATCAGACTTTTCTGCAAAAGATAAGAGCACTAAATTATCAATTTCAAAATAGGAGCACTAAATTATCAATTTCAATTCTTGATTTTGACAAAATCGTTCTGTAAGACTAGCAAAACATTCGAGCCCTGCTAGCTCAGTCGGTAGAGCGTTGGACTTTTAATCCAACGGTCAAGGGTTCGAGTCCCTTGTGGGGCGAAGTATCATCACTTCTATTAAAGTTTTTGAAACAATCGTACTTCTTAGAAAACGCCAGTTATTTTCAGAGCATTTAAGAATGGTTAATAAGTTTCGGGCGCTCAAAAATAATTTTTTTCTTAAAGTGATTTTTTATCAAGCTCTTGTGGTGCAATCGGTTAGCGCGTTCGGCTGTTAACCGAAAAGTTGGTGGTTCAAGCCCACCCAGGAGCGAGAACAGTAGAACCACAGAATCAGACTTTTCTGCAAAAGATAAGAGCACTAAATTATCAATTTCAAAATAGGAGCACTAAATTATCAATTTCAATTCTTGATTTTGACAGAATCGTTCTGTAAGACTAGCAAAATATTCGAGCCCTGCTAGCTCAGTCGGTAGAGCGTTGGACTTTTAATCCAACGGTCAAGGGTTCGAGTCCCTTGTGGGGCGAAGTTTCATTTCTTCTATTAAAGTTTTTGAAACAATCGTACTTCATTGAAAACGCCAGTTATTTTCAGAGTTTTTAAGGATGCTTAATAAGTGTCAGACTCTCAAAAATAAATTTTACCCATGGAAAAAGCTTGAATGATGAGTAAAAAAATCAACCGACACTTATGTATAGAGCTCTTGGGGCGCAATCGGCTAGCGCGTTCGGCTGTCAACCCAAAGGTTGGTGAATTAAGCAAACCCAGGAGCGAGAACAGAACTTCCGAATGAGAGAATTCTGCAAAAAAAAGAGCACTTAGTCATTGGTTTTAGGATCCAAAGCTTCGAATTCTTGTATTTGAAAGACTAGCGTAATCTTTAAGCCCTGCTAGCTCAGTCGGTAGAGCGTTGGACTTGTAATCCGACGTTCAAAGGGTTCGGTTCCTTTGTCGGGCGCAGTATCATTTCTTCTATTAATTTTTTTGAAACACTCTAACTTCTTAGAAAACGCCAGTTATTTTCAGAGTTTTTAAGAATGGTTAATAAGTTTCAGGCGCTCAAAAATAAATTTTACCCATGGAAAAAGCTTGAATGATGACTAAAAAAACCAACCGACACTTATGTATAAAGCTCTTTGGGCGCAATCGGCTAGCGCGTTCGGCTGTCAACCCAAAGGTTCGTGGATTAAGCCCACTCAGGAGCGAGAACAGCAGA